GGGCTAGGCCTGACATCAATCTTCCCTTTTGTTCCTCCCATGCGGTTCCGGTGAGCTAAGAAAATGCTTATCTCCTTGAGCTTGGCCTTCATAATTCCACTCCATCACACTAACCCAAGTCATCAAGTGCCTGACACACAGATGGTCGCCTTGTGATCCAAGGGTGGGGGACATTATCACTGAATCTTTGTCATGGTCAGATGACTCTGGTTGCACCCTGCAGGGAAGCCCACCCAGTGCAACTAATGAACTTGATGAGTTCTAGAGGGAGCTTTGGATTTTTCTTGAGGAAGTGGTAGGCAACTCAACTGAGGCCTTTGTCTCTACCTGGAATGGGTGTATGACAAGGGCCTTAGATCGGATTGCCCTACTTGGCCTCTCCCTGTTTATTGATCCTGGGGATCTCCCTGGTTCTCTGAGGAGCTCAGACAGAAAAAGTGACACCTGGAGTGCTGTTGGAGGAAAACAAAGAGTGAATCCAGCTAAGCACATGTAAGAGTTCACATTAGGGATTTACACAGTGGCAATAAGCCAAGCATACCTATCTATTGGTGGCCATCAGCTGTCTTTAAACTGACCTGCTCCCTGCTAGGGAGAGATGGATCTCAAGAACACTGACATGGCTTCTGTGAAAAATATTTTTGGCATCAGACAGATCAGTTGCTCAGATCCTCTCAGGGTTGGACTAGGCAGGTCAAGTCGAGGCAATTGTGGCATGGTCTTGCTAAGCTCCCTCAGAAGAATTTGATCCTGTAGCTCCTGATGAAGTGGACAGGATCCAGAAAAGCTATTTGCATTTATTTTCCTCTCGTGTTGTCTTTCTGAGGAAGGGTAATATTTTGCCGTTATTACATCGCCTATTTTCTTCTTTTGTGCCCCATAAGGAGCTAGTGTTTTTTTAAGGGCTTTCTCCTGGCAACTTACGATTCTGTTTTGATTAGAGAGCTGTCCTGCAGTGTGTCTCCTTTACTTTCATCCTTCCAAATATACTCAATGCCCTCTGGGTTGTTGAGCTTCCTGGTTGAACTTTACATATTTGACTGAGTTCTGGCAGCTGCAGCTTCTTTCATCATATGAACTTTGTCTGCTAACATTTTTCCTTTGGATAACTACATTTATAGGATCCTGTTAGCCTGCTTCAGACCAAAAATTACTTTTCTTAGCAGAATTTTGAGCCTTCATTACAAGATTTATTGAGCTGAGAAGGACAAGCAACTGAATTATTACCCATTCAGAACTATTTTATCCTCTGAATTAGTTTAGGGTGGAGATTTACTCTCTGTTTTTTCTTAATAAATTTAAGAAAATTTTAAAATTTCTTTAAAATGGTTCTGAATTAGCTTAGGATGGAGACATACTCTGTTTATGCTTAATAACTTCTCTTTAAAATGGTGAGGAGGCAGACCTCTTTGCAGATAATGGAGAGCCTTGCATCTGGCTTTTTACAAACCGTCTCCTGAATCTTTATCAGCCTGTGAACCAACTGCTATTGATCCCTACTGATTATTAGTTCAGTAGTTTGAGAGACAGGGAAAAATGAGCCATGAGGTTCTGAAACTCCAGAATGAGTTACCATCTGTTTTGCTGCTACAATTCCTACCTGTTTCCCTTGTAATTTTTTCTACTTTTAGCAAAACATTTCAGTGCCTTTTCCATTCTTTTTCCTCTTTTTCCTGTTCTTTAATACTAACCGTTTTAATACCAGATTTTTGTGTTTATATATAT